CAGCAGGGAATTCAAGACAACAGCTTCAGTTGCACAGTGATTTGAGGCTAGTCTGAGTTATATGAACTCTTATCTCAAAAAAAAAAAAAAGAAAATTGGAGATTATATACTCATATGTATATATATATATAGCCAATCTCTCTCTCTCTCCAATCTCTGTTTCTCTCTCCAGTCTATCTCTCTCTCTCCAATCTCTCTCTCCCTCCAATTTCTATCCCCCTTTCAAACTCTCTCTCCAACCTCTCTCCCCAATCTCTATCTCTCTGTCTCTCCAATCTCTATCTCTCTATCAAAGGAAAAAAAAAGAAAAAAAAGTTAAAAAAGACAGAAGGAAAAAAGAGAGAGTAGGGGAGGGAGGGAGAGGGAGAAAAGGAGAGAGGGATTGGTTGAGATTGATCAAAATTTTAGCTCTAGCTGGGCATCTGAACTCAGGAAGAGAGACAGAATCAGTGGTACTTGGTAGCCGCTTAGAAATGGGGCTACTTCTTTTATTTTTTTTTAAATTAACGTTTATTTGTGTGTGTGTGTGTGTGTGTGTGTGTGTGTGTGTGTGTGTGTGTGTGTGTGTGTGTGTTGTGGAGGGTGGAGGATGTGCTACAGCACACATGTGGAGGTCAGAGGACAACTTGTGAGAGTCAGTTTTCTTCTTCTACCATGTCAGTCCTAGAGATTGAACTCAGGTTGTCAAGCTTGGCAGCAAGTGCCTTTATCTGCTGAACTTTCTCATTGGCTCTGATACTTCTTTTAGCTTTGATGCCATTGATTCTAAACACAGGAAATGCAGGGCTAAGAGTGAGTGACATGGCATAGGTCAGTGAAGAGAATGGCTTGAGATGAGGTCTATTTCATGTGTTGTGGCTTGGACCCTGGTGACACCAACATCAGTACTAAGTAGAGTGGACAGTGACCTTTATTTGGCAGAAATGCGCCCGATTGCTCATTTACTTCAGGGCCTTGGTGTGGCTGCTGTAGTACTAGGCATTGTGTCTCTTCAAGTCAGAAATGAGGGAGTGTTGAAGCTACTTGTGGTCCCTTATGTCAGAGACAAGCGAGCCATCTTCCATACCAACTCTGTCTTTGACCAGGACTAAGGAAGTGCTAGTGAGCATTGTGGTGACGACGCTCCTTGCAACATCACTGCACTTCTGAGATCTTGTTCGCAGTGCCAGGAGAGAATCTGCTTGACTGTGCTGGTGGGTATTTGCTGTGAACCCCAGATGAAGGACAGGCCCCTGAACAGCTCTTGGGGATTCGGATGTTACCTCTTTTGGTTCCTTTCTGATTCAGTCCTTCCTCACATTAGTGAAGATAGGAATGAGACATCTCCCCTGCTCTTCGTGTAAACTTTTATGGTATAGGGGGTTTGAGAACATGGATCACTTTTAATATTGGTGCTGTTGGAGAGAAACCAGGGCACTGGTATTTGAAATTAATTCTCTTTGGTAAGAAAATAAAGCTGTTGACACTTTTCCCAAGTCGGTATTTTAGAGGTCTTTAGGGGAAAAAAATCTGTGTAGTGTTCCTTTTGTTACACTGACAGTGCCACATGTGGGGTCCTGGCTCTGTGGAGTTGAGAATTCTCCAGGATGGTGGATGCCCAGGTATATTTTAGTCTACACTCTCTTGCCATGAGATATTCAGTGTAGAACATTGTGTGTCCCTAGTTGTGCATCTCCTTAGTGTCCTGGTAGACTGTAATGAGAACAGGTAAAGGCCGAGTGCACATAGCTCTGAAGCACATGAATTTGCATATGGTGTTGGAGCAGAGGAAGGAGTTTACCTGTATCCACTTGATCTAAATCAGGATGTTGTGGATGTGCATGTTTGCACAGGGGTATGTGTGTGGTTGGGTATGTGGAAGCCAGGGGACAATTTTGAATGTTGTACTTTAGGCACCCCACCTTGTTTTTTGATAGGACTGGAGGTTTCATAGATTAGGCTAATTTGATTGGTCAGTGAGCCCTGGTGATCTGCTAATCTCTGCTTTTCCCAATGTTTTGATTACAAATGTAATTACAAAATTTACAATTTTATTTTCATGGGCTCTGTGGATTGAACTTGGTTGGGTCCTTGTATTGTGCTGTAAGCTCTTTGCTGACTGGACATTCTCTCCATATACCCTCTTCTCTTCTTCCTCTGCCTGATTCATATTTAATTTTTAATTATGTATATATGCTGTGGGATAATGTTGTTATACACTGGTTTAATAAAATGCTGCTCAGCCATTAGCTCAGGCTTACTACTGCCCAACTCTTACATTTAAATTCAGCCCATTTCTGTTAATCTGAATATTGCCACGTGTTCTGTGGCTTTACCCGTGTGCCATTACATGCTGTCCGCTGGACAGTGGGCTGGCATCTCCTGACTCAGCCTTCCTCTTCCCAGAATTCTTGTCTGTTTATCCCGCCTATACTTCCACAGTTAGACACCAGTATACCTCTTTGCTCTGTGGCCTGAGCTGTGATCTGAGCTATTGTCTGCTCTGTGTTTGAAGAGGGGAGACAGGAAAGAGAATATATTCTCACATGTGCCAGGACCCTGTCTGTGGCTGTCCCTGACTCTCACTGGCTCTGTGGTGGAGACGGTCTGCCAGACCAGCAGCATTTCCTGTGGTGCCTCTTGCAGCCTTCCATTGCAAAGCTCAGCACATAGTTTCAGGGTGCAGTTTTCTTGGCTTTTAAAAGTTAACTGGTTTGGACTGAGTGTTTAAAAATATCCTGTAGTATATCTGTAGTATTTAGGAGCACGAATGAGGAGACAAAATATAGTTTCTGAGAAAGCTTCAAGGAAATATCAGTTTTTATCTTTCTCCATCCTTTTCCGCTGCAACCCACTAGGGTCTCCTTCTGAGCATGCTTGTCCTATAAATAGAATAGCAGGTCTCTTTGGGCAGCCCAAGCTTGCAGGCTGTGGTCTACTTTCTGAAAGATATTTGTGTGTCTGTGTATATGGGTGGTGGTGGGGATTGTGCTTTAATTTTGCTTTCCCTCTTTTGTATGAGATACTAGCAGCATATTCGAAAAAAAATACTCTTATCTGTCCTTTAAGGATAATTTGAAACTTTTTTGGGTTCAGCATATTGATTTTGTTGCCTTATTTTTATTTTAAAATTTGCACATAGGAAAGAAGTGGAAGCAGTTTCTTTCCCTTCATAGGTAAGGAAACTGAATTGGGCTGAGGAGGTATCTCTATAGGTGAGCCCTTTAAGGTCTACAGGAAAGGTTCTCTCTTTGTGCTCTAGGCATCCATGGACTGGTGGTGTTATATACAGATGTTTCTAACAATAGTGCCATCCATGTGAACTTGGATCTGTAAAGGGTGCTGAAAATCAAAGTTGGTTATAGCTCTTCCATACTGCAGATTGGCTTGTGCCCTGATCTTAGGTCCTTTTGGTAGTCCTCTGTCATAGTACAGGGCCTGCGTGTGAGTGACTAGCTGGATGTGTTTCTTCTTGGATTGTGCCATCATGTTATTTTTCCCTTGATACTCTTTAACTGCCTGGGAGATGGGGTGAGTGACTCCTGCAGAAATAAGAGGTGAAGGTATAGACACGACAACATGAGGAAGTGTGCTACTCATCAACAGTTTCCGCCTGGTTTGGTCTCAAGAGGGCAGCTGATGTAGTACCAGGTAGGTACCAGAGCAGAGTCCATTCCAGTGAGCCTGTGGGTAAATATGGGCACATGCATCACACCCAGCCCAGAAGGTGCCTCAGGAAGGTGGCTTGTCAGGAGGAGACGAGGAAATCTCAGGCACCATGTAATGGCCTATGTGCTGCTGGGCTGTGGGCCCTGAACTTGGCTTTGTGTGTTTAGAGGGTGAGGGAGCTGGGGTTTGGTTTAATATTCTCTGTCCCTCTACCTCTCTCCCCTATGATAAACAGACTTGTTTACATAAATGTGCTGTCTTTGTATTTTGGCACGTTTGGATGACCCGAGGTTTCTGTGTCTTGTTCACTATGGTTTTATGTTAGGAAGTTTTAAGTATCCTCAAATGTCTAGGTGCTTCATACATACACTGTTTTAAAAGTTGCTTAAAGGGCAAACCTGCATGGGGTTGCTCAGCTGTTTGCTGTAGTATAAGGAAAGTGCTGAATGTGGAGTAGGATTCTTGTTCTCCTGGATACTATTTATTATTATTATCTTTTCTTTGTGGTGCTGGGAATGGAACCCAGGGCTTTGAGTGCGCTAGACAAACGTTCTATACTGAGCTATACCCAGCCTGTTTATTAGTGTTGACTGTATTAGTGACTGAGTGGCTCAGAGCATCTGGCCATTCCTTGAGCATTTGATTTCCAAGTGTTGTGTAGGACTCAGTGTCCACTAGGAGCCATGTACATGGGGCAAATGAAGGAAGACAGCTCTGACTTACTGTTAACTGAGCAGGGGAAGTTCTCTGGGGAAAAAGGAATATTTCCTGTATTATAATGGCTTATCTGTATCACAGGGAGGATGAATATCAGATGCTTATACTGACCTCAGAACCATGCAGAGGGCTGAGCAGAACACAGGCCTGAAGCCACACTGAAACCCAGAGCAATGAACGTGGACAGTTTTGGCAACAGAATCCTGAGAAATGGCAAGAGGCCAGAGAACATGAAGGCAGGGCCAAGAATAGCTGAAAAATACCAAATGCTGAAGCTGGAGAATGTGCTGGTCCTGTGTCCCAGTTGTTCCCAGCTGTTCCCAGCTGCTACTTCCTGGAGTCCTTGAACCTCAGTTTCCCTTTTGCTAATCTGCTGGGCATAGCTAGGACAGACCTTGGGTCTCTAACACAGGTACTCTGTGGTCCCTTAGAGAAATGGTATGCCCCTTGCCCCCCGCCTTGCATCACAGTGCTTTAGCCTGAGTAGAGGTCAAGGTCTGTGAGAAAGTGAGAATGTTCTTCTGGTAGGCTGCCTAGCCCTTTAGAGGCACACTTTGCTCATCAGTCATGATAGGGTGTTTCAGGGCGATGGGCACCTCAGAATGTAAGCTCACAATGTACTTCTGTGCTTTCAGACCATCCTCAAAGAGGGCATGCTGACCAAACAGAACAACTCGTTCCAGCGATCCAAAAGGAGGTACTTTAAGCTTCGAGGACGAACACTGTACTATGCTAAAACTGCAAAGGTAAGGCACCGTGAGAGGGTCAAATTCAAGAGCCACCATTTAGGGACTGAGTTCTCATGCACAGGATGAATACTACAAATCAGTTATTTCTAGCTGAGTTTATTTGTTTGTTTATTTTATTTGTTTGTTGTTTGTTCTTTTATTTGTTTTAGTCATGCTGGAATTGAACCCAAGGCTTTGGATGTTCTAGGCAGATTCTACCACTGAACTACAGTCTCTCTTCTCTGGCTTGTAATAATACTTGCTGTCAGGTTTTATTTGTCACTAATCATGCTTTATTTCTTGTAAAAATTATTTTTGTTCATTTTCCTCTTCCCTAAAAATGGAAACATGGTCACAGAACTAACTATATTTCAGTTAGTTTCCTTCGGAAAGATGGGAACCACAGGCTCATGGATCTCTTATGGGCTTAGAGTTCCTCTGTGTGAACAGAAATATGCAGCTCTTTTATCTCTAAGCTTCCCAACAGCTGGGCCTGGGCGGTAAGTTCCCAGCTATGTTAAGACTCAAAGCCAAAGCCCCCAGACAGGTGCTGTTAGAGGAGCAGCTGGGCGGCTGCTGCTCTGGTCCAGGTCCAGTGAATGCTGTCAGACTTCAAACCCCAGTGTGCAGGCTGGCAGTCCTAACACCTGTGCTTTTGTCTCAGTGTTGGTGGCAGTTCTGATACTTGGGCATTAAGAAAAATCTGGAATCATTTTGCAAAGCATCCCTAGGGAGTTAGTTTGCTGAAATTAGAAATGGAACAAGGCAACATGTTTAGAAAGGGTTCTGACCACAGCCAAGGTTATTTTGGTCCTGTTGGTGGGGGTGGGGAAAGTTTTCTTAGTTGCTAGTCTTTTCTCCAGGGGTTCCATATAGAGGCATCTTAGAACAGAGGGAACAGTAAGGTAAACAGGAGGAGGGGGCTGTGGCTTGGACCTTAGTGGGGAGAGGAGAGGAACACAAGACATCCTTAGATCTGGCGGGGTCTCACTAGGACTAAATTCCTGTGTTCCATTCCCTAATTTCCTTATGGCTGGGTTCCTCTTATTAGGGCCTGTCTCTTCCCCCTACAGTGTTTGTTTTAGTTGGAACTTCTCTCCTAAACGTGCTCGCTGGAGAATTCCAAACCAGAAAGATCCTCTTACTCTGGACCCTGACTGGCTGTCTCACATTTAAAAGGGAATTACTGGTATTGATATTATTTGCTACAAAGAACAAGTGTAGAAAGAAATATCAGCATTGCTATTGTAATGTACCCATTGATGAACTCTGTAGATGGAAAGTCACAAGCTACCTGTGATCCATGCTCTTTGGGAGAGACAGGCAGGCAGGTGGTTGCAGGAATTTCACATGGTGGATTGATCAGATATTGAGGTTTCAAGGAACCTGGGCTTGTAGGGGTGGGTAGGGAGAGTAGCACCATGAGTGCTTGGAATATGCATGCCCTGGCTTGCCTGAGACCCTCTGTTTGTATCTCTCTCCAGTCGATCATATTTGACGAGGTAGACCTGACTGACGCCAGTGTGGCAGAATCTAGCACCAAAAATGTCAACAACAGTTTCACGGTAAGATTCTAGGTCACACCCTTCTCCAAGGTTTCTCATTGGAGCGTGGCATGAAGTAGTTCAGACTTTCTCATCCCCTTTCTGATTGGAGGGATTCCTGGGAAATGTTGAATTTCAATATGAAGGTAGTACTGTGGCTGTGGCTGGAGAATAACAGAACTTGATAATGTAAGCACAAAGTAAGATGATCTAAATGACATGTTTTTGAAGTGTTGCTGCTTATTTATTAACACTTTTTGTTCAGAAGCTTGTTGATTTATTTGTTTATTTGATTTCTGAGGCAGGGTTTCCTCTATGTAGCCCTGGTTTCCCTGGAACCAGCTGTGTAGACCAAGCTAACCTTGAACTCACAGAGATCTGCCTGTCTCCTCCCAAGTGCTGGGATTAAAGGTGTATAAAGGGGCATGCCATCACACCTGGCTTATTTTTGTAATAATTTGGGAAAGCCAGAAAAGCGTATGTTAAGACAATTGAAAGCGACCACAATTCACCCATTTCACAACATAGAATATTAATATTTTGATATACTTCTTTTTTTATGTATTTGAACCCTTTCTTTTCCAAATTTGTAACAATTATGTAGTACTTTTTTTTTTTTTTTTTTTTTTTTGCAAAAGTTCTAAGACCTCAGAATCAGCCAACCACCCGATCTGGTGTCATATTGGTTCAGGCTTTTTCTGCATCCGTCTTGAAATCAGACTGGTTTTTTTTTTCTCTTGAAAACTTTTGGTGACTCTTTTCCCTTACAGTTGATCTAAATATTCACATTATTTATATAGCGCTTTCTGTTAAGACTTTATACAGTCATGGGCTGACTTTAACAGTATCAGGGGTTGCTCGGCTGGTGGCACTGGAGTTTTTGTTTTTTGTTTTTTCAGACTAGGTTTCTCTGTGTAGCCCTGGCTGTCCTGAACTCACTCTGTAGACCAGGCTGGCCTTGAACTCAGAGATCCGCCTGCCTCTGCCTCCTGAGTGCTGGGATTAAAGGTGTGCTCCCCCAGCCCGGCTAAAATATGTTTTATTTTTACATTAATTACATGCATATATGTGTAGGTGCTGCAAGAGGCCAGAGGCCTTAGATTCTCCCTAGAACTGGAGATCTAGGTGGCTGTGAGCTGCCTGATGTGGGTGCTGAGGGCTGAATGGTCCTATGCAAAGCAGTACATTTAACCATCCTTTTGCTCTTTCCTCTTTCCCTCTTAAAATTTCTGTTTGCCTGCCTGTGTGTCTATCAATCTTTCTATCATTTGTCTGTCTATCATCTGTCTGTCTGTCTGTCTATCATCTATGTATATATATGTATGTATGCACCTATCATCTGTCAATAATCTGTGTGTGTGTGTGTGTGTGTCTGTCTGTCTGTCTTATCTATCTAAGATAGGGTCTGTCTTTCTGTATCATCTCAGATAAGGTCTTGCTGTGTAGCCTAAACTAGCTCATAACTGGTGATCCTTTAGCTGTAGCTTCCAAGTGCTGAAATGATAGTTATGACCCACCACACCTGGCTGGGTTTCTAGTTTTATTTATTTAAAGATATCTTAAAAAAAATTAAAAAAAAATTGTGTGTGTGTGTGTTTGAAATGGCATGTATGTGGTGGTCAGAAGACAATTTTGAGGAGTCAGCTCTCTCCTTCCATTGTGGATTCTGAGGATAGCATTCAGTTTGTCAGACTTGGTGGAACTTGACTTTACCTGCTGAGCCATCTCATTGGCCCTGACTTTTCAAGGTTGCAAAGTCCCAGGTGGGTTTTTGTTTTTTGTTTTTTAAATTTACTCGCATTTATTTTAGAGTCTGTGTCAGAAAACTCAGGTATCTGGGAATTTTGTGTATCTTTTCTGTTTAGTTTTTTCCCTTGGCTCTTATCCTTCGGCCTTTCCTGCTGCTGTGTCAGGTAATTTTGATTGACATTGTATAGTAGAAGTTGACAGGATGAGTTTAGGCTCTGGCTCTTTTTTGAATGGATTTGTTCTTATGACCCCCAAAGGCAGAAAGGAAGCAGCAGATCTGCTGAAGTCCAGGCTGAGGTAGAGGCAGTTTGAGGATTGTCTTAGTTACTGTTCTTTTGCTGTGAAGAGACACTATAACCAAGACAACTCTTTTGAAAGAAAGCATTTAATTGGGTGCTTGCTTACAGTTTCAGAGGCTCTCTTACTTAGGGTTTCTGTTGCTGTGAAGAGTCACTATGACCACAGCAATTCTTATAAGGAAAACGTTTAATTGAGGTAGCGGCTTACGGTTTTAGAGGTTCAGTCCATTATCATCATAGTGGGATATGGCAGCATGCAGGCAGATATGGTGCTGGAAACGTAGCTGAGAGTTCTACATTTTGCAGGCAACAGGAAGTGGTCTGTCTCATTGGGTGGTATCTTGAGCATAGGAGACCTCAAAGCCTGCCCCCACAGTGACACCCTTTCTCCCACAAGGCCACCACCTACTCCAACTAAGTTACACCTCCTAATAGTCCACTCTCTTTGGGGGCCGTTTTTCTTTCAAACCACCACAGAGTCTTAGTGCATTATCATCGTGGTGGGAAGCATGTCAGTACACATAGTACTGGAACAGTAGCTGAGAGCTATATCCAGATCCACAAACTGAGGGAGGGAGGGAGGGAGGGAGGGAGGGAAGGAAGGAGAGAGGGAGGGAGGGAGAGAGGGAGGGAGGGAGAGAGGGAGAGAGAGACTGAGAGAGAGAGAGACATACACATACATGATACACAGAGAGAAAGACAGAGAGAGACAGAGCAATGCTGAGCCTTGTAGCCAGAGCCTTTTCTCTGTTCCGATTGATCCCGCAGCTTATAAAATAATCACCCAGAGGCTTAATATTAATTACAGACTGTTTGGCCCTATGGCTCAGGCTTATTACTAACTAGCTCTTACAGCTTAAATTAACCCATTTCTATTAATCTGTGTATTGCCATGTGTCTCATGGCTTTACCCGTGTTCTGTTACATCTTGCTTCTCTGACTTCTCCCAGCATTTCCCCCGACTCCGCCTTTCTTCTCCTTGTATCTTTGGATTTCCTGCCTGGCTGTAACCTGTCTTGCCATAGACCAAGGCAGCCTCTTTATTTATTTATATTTATTTATATTTTATTTTATTTTATTTTTGAGACAGGGTTTCTCTGTGTAGCTTTGGAGCCTGTTCAGGAGCTCACTTTGTAAACCAGGCTGGCCTCAAACTCCTAGAGATCCAGCTGCCTCTGCCTCCCGAGTGCTGAGATTAAAGGCGTGCGCCACCACCGCCCAGCTGGCAGCCTCTTTATTAACCAACTGTAGCAACACATATTCACAGCATACAGAAAGACCATCCCACAGCAGAGTGTGGCATGGGCTTTTGAAACATTAAAGCCCACCCCCAGTGACACCCTGCCAACATCAAGGCACACCTCCTCCCAGTAAGACCACATCTCCTAATCCTTTCAAACAGTTCCGCTCCCTGGTGACCAAGCATTCAAATGTATGAGTCTGTGGGGGGTCATTCTTGTTCAAGTCACCACAAGGATGGTTTTACTTTTTCTCCTTGCTAGTTTTCACTTTTGATTCACTTGTGTCTTCATGCATGAGTCATTTCATGGGTTTCTGTGTATAACACCAGCTCTGACCAACTTTTTGGCCTCTCTCGATCCTACTTAGAAGTCAGTGTTTGTCACTGTTTTAATTTTCCCCATGTCTTTATCATTCCATTATATTTATAAGCATCTGTTATTAAGATTACTTGTTGTAAATATGAGAAATTATAAGGGCAGTATTGTTGTTAATCTATTGTAACTTAGGAGTATTGTTGCTCAAGTCTTCTTGTGACTTTGTTTCTTTGTTTCTGCTTGATCATAGACTTTGTCTTGTTCTTTGAGAACTTTGCTTGGTCATTGGTTCAACAGGTGATCTTTCAGAGCTTCCCTGGGCCACATATTTGAGGGCTAAAGTTCAGCAGACAGGGAGAGGAGTTCTTTTTATTAAACTTGCATCCTTATGGAGAATTGGGAAAATAAAACCTGAGTGAGTCCCCAGAGGACCCTGAGAATCTGCCTTTGACTGTTTCCTTCATCAGATGAAGGGCCTCGATAGCAGGCTTTGTCTCCCTCCTGCTCCATTTTCTCCCTCTCCCTGTGTTGCTTTCCCTACTCTCTCTTTAACAAAAGAGTATTCATTTATTTAGGTACATGGGTGTTTATCTGTATACCATGTGGGTGCTTGGTTCCCATGGTGGCCAGAAGAGGGCACTGACTCCCTTGGAACTGGCATTACAGATGGTTGTGGGTGCTGGGAACAGAACTTAGGTCCTCTTCAAGAGCAGCAAGTGTTCTTAACCACTGAGCCATGTCTCCAGCCTCTCTTCTTCCCTTTCTGAGACAGTCTCATGTAGCTCAGGCTGACCTCAAACTTGCTCTATAGCTGAGGATGACCTTGAAGTCCCAATCTTCTTGCTCCTCTACCTTCCATTTGTTGGTATTACAGCCTTGTGTCTCCACAACCAGTTCTCTTCAGTTTTCTTTTTTTTTTTTTTTTTTTTTTTTTTTGGTTTTTCGAGACAGGGTTTCTCTGTGTAGCTTTGCGCCTTTCCTGGAACTCGCTTTGGAGACCAGGCTGGCCTCGAACTCACAGAGATCCGCGTGGCTCTGCCTCCCGAGTGCTGGGATTAAAGGCGTGCGCCACCACCGCCCGGCTTCTCTTCAGTTTTCTTAATCTGTGAAAACACAGAACCTCATTGTAAGACAACACAGAGATTTTGTCAGTTTGAAACAATAAAACATAGTGTTTAAAGTTTAGGCTGTGAAAGTGGGAGGAAGTCCTGTCTCAGCCTTACTAGCTGGCTCTGAATGTCAGGTTCTTCATCCAAGGAATGAAGCCTTTGGGGTTGCTAGGAGCTCCAAATTAATGAGTACAATGAAGGCTGGGTAAAATGGTTACTGTTAGTATCGGGATGCTAGGTACCCACTGAGTAGTCAGTTGTGAAGCACGAACACTAAATTAATTGATTATATCATTTGGCTCCTAACT